AACAGAAAAAGTAAAAGTGTGTAGTACAAAGTTGTAACAGGCGAGAAAATTAAAAAAGGCAAGCGAGCATTGTTGCATACTAGGCTTAGCAAAATTCTTCCCTAGCTGCTGCTCTTGACTTTGCCAGCAGCAGCAGCTTCCGCCGCCGCCTCCGCCTCCTTAGCCTCGGCCACCGTCGCACAGCCTCGACAGAGCTTCTTCTGCCCCACCGGAAAGTACTCCTTGTTGAAGTGAGGGGAAAGGCTTCCTCCGGGACTGCTAGTTCCGCTATTTCCACCAGCCCCTCCATTAGCATCCACAGCCAGCAGCATATCTAAACTGCCGCCGCAGTCGTCACAGCGAAAGCAGTCCGGGTGGTAGAGGCGGCCATCGGGGCCGACCAGCTGCTCCATCGTGCCCTCCGCCTCGTTGATGCGCAACGCCTGGTGGCAGGCGTCACAGCAGGGCAGACAGTGGGCCAGGTAGCAGGGCTGGCAGTAGCGGCGGACGACGGGCGGCGGCGGCGGCTTAGGCGCCACTGCGGAGAAGGGCGGGCGGCGTTTCGGCTTGGGCGGCGGAGGGACCACCTCCTCTATGTACGCCTCCAGCGGCCGCTGGCAGCCGGCGCAGATGAAGCAGCTCTGGTGGAGCTTCGTCTGCTCGTCCAGCAGCACAATGCGCCCCTGCTCTATTAGGCGGCCACAAGCGGTGCAGCGGTCCAGGCGCTTGAGGTAGCAGCGCTCGCAGAAGAGGTGAAAGTTGTTGGCTGCTGAGGTGGGCGTTTGGGTGGGAATAGCCGACCCGTTTGCGGTCACTGCAACGTCCTCGTAGACCTTCTTGCTGCGCATCGAGCCGCCGCAGACGGTGCACTTGAAGCAGCGCACGTGGAAGCTCGCCGACTTGTACTTGATCACCGCCTCCTGTTCGTGCAGTAGCTTCGCGCAGAGGTGGCACTGGTTGATGTGCACCAGGTGGTTGTTTTTGTTGGACTTTTGGATGCTCACACCACCACCAGCACCACTACCTGATTTTGGGGTGGAAGTTGAGGTGGTGTTTGTTTTGTTTGATTTGTTTGATTTGGCAGAAGAAGTTGTTGTGGTGGTGGTGGTGGTGGCAGTGGTATTGGTCGTCTTTGGAGTGCTGCTGCCGCTTTTGCTTTTGCTGCTGGCGGTTTCCTTGCCTTGACTAGCAGCCCCTCCTCCATCATTTGATTTGGTGAGCGTGGCCGGCTGAAATTGGGTCACTTTTCGAAGCTGGACCATGACTGTTTGAGACAAGTGATATAAAAAGCAGAAATGATGGTAAAGTGCTGGCGTATGAGTTGGCATAAATACTGTTGTGGAAGTGGAAAGAAGAACTCTGGAGAGGCAGGTGAGAAAGAGAACTTTTAAGCTGAAAATAATAATGCTGATAAGGCTGAAAAGCTGTTGGACAAAGTTGAACAAAGTAGTAAAATAGTAATAAGGGATCCAATCCAATCAACCAAGCAGTCAGTCAGTCAGTCATCCAAAGGTTATGACGACAACTAATGAAAGCCCCTCACTCAAACTGAATATCTTCAAAGGAGGTGATGATGGGAATTCGGCCGCGAACGTCCTCCAGGCCGCGCGGCTTATTCCCCGGGCGCTTGATGATGAAGGCCTTGCAGCCGGCCTTGATGGCTGCCGAGGCTTCTGCAAATAATAAAAACTGTAACCAAAAAATTAAAAACTGTTTAAAAGATTACCCTTGGGATTATCGGTGATAAAGAGCATACTGCCGACGCTCCGGCGCACCTTCTCCGCGATCTTCAGGTAGCTGGCCGGGTCGGTCTTGTCGCCCACCGAGTTGTCGAAGAAGTCGGTGATCATCTGAAGAGAATGGGAAAAAACCCCTGGTTAAACCTCCTTCTCCAAATCGAAACCACTACTACCACCACTTACCGGGAGGCAGTTGCCGTGGTTGGTGCAGCAAAGGAGCAGCTGCTGGGCGGCGATCATGCCCGTGCTGAAGACGTAGAGGGCGATGCGGTAGCCCGTCTTCCAGTGGTGCATCGTGGTGGTCACCTCGTCGTAGACGTGCCCGCGGATGCTGCCCCGCTCGTAGCCCCACACCCACACTAGAATCTGCAGCTGCTTGATCTCCGAGACGCGACGTTTTAGGCGCATGTTGGCCAGGCTGTACTCCGCCAGGCTCTTGATGATGTCGCGGCGAGGCGCACTAGGCGGCTGGATTTGGGGCACTGAAAGAGGTGGAAAAGAGAAAGAGGTTAGAACTTTGTTTGTAAACAAAACACTGTTTGTACTCACAGCAGGCGCTCTCCTCCTCGCTCAGCGTTCGGCGACTCTCGCGCATTCGCTTGATCAGCTCCTGCGTTTCAGGGCGGGCGTAGCACTCGTCGAAGTACGTCTCAATGTTCGCCTTGATGAAGGGGAAGAGCTTCTTGGAGACGAAGCTGATGTCGGTCATGGTGCCCTCGATGTCCAGCAGAATGACCGAGGGCTTCTCCACGCGGGTGGACACCTGGTTGGACATGACTTTGCGGAAGAGGTGAAAAGAAGATGATGACTTGAAAAGCTGAGACGTCGTTCTAAATGCTGACGTGAAATGCAAAGTTTGAAGCGTCTTTTTAGGCAAAAAAAGTGCACAGTTCGATTTGGCGGGGTTTAATATTAGTTCTAAATAGAACCTCCTTCTCTTTTGGCCTTCCTCACATCATCGCCGGCTTGTTCAGTCGCGTGTCAATGCGCAGCACCCGAATCCGCCCCTCGCCGCCCACCAGAAGCACCGAGCACTCGTTGTTCATGCGGTTGGTGTAGTGCGAGCAGCTGAAGACCGTCGTACAGAGGCGGCCTGGAAAGTTGAAGCGGACGCCCAGCTCCTCGGGCACCTCGTGGGCGCGAATGATCGCCTGCAGGCGATTCGCCTTGAGGAAGGCCGCCGCGGCGTAGTCGTTGAAGACGTACGCCGTGCCCCGTTTCGCATTAAAGAGGTACATGTACGTGTAGTTGGCCGCGCTGGGCACCACCTTCTGCAGCTGGGCCGCCTCGAGGAAGCGCGCCCAGTCCATGGGGTCGTTCCAGAGCATCTGCCAGACCCAGGGCGCGACGCGGTCCGGCTCAGGGAGGACCCGGGGCGTCTGTTGGTTGATCGTCCCCAGGTCGGTCAGGCTGAAGGGAATGCCGCCGTGGGCGGCGAAGAGGGCGCCGCCGACCACGGCGCACACCGGCAGGCGGTCGCAGACGTAGTTGACCAGGTCCCAGAACTTCAGGCCGTAGGTGCTGCCGTACTTGAGCAGCAGCTCCTCCTTGAACTTGTACTTCTCCTGGGTGAGGCGGAACTCGTGGTTGCCGCGGAGGAGGAAGACTCGGTCGCGGTTGAGCAGCTTCGCCACCGCCAGGTAGAGGAAGACCTCGAAGCCCCAGCGGCCGCGGTCCACGTAGTCGCCCAGGAAGAGGTAGTTGGTGGTCAGATGGGGCGAGGAGCGGAGGATGCACCGTTCGATGCTGAGCAAATCCTGAAAAGGATGAAAAAGAAATCATTAGTTTTACCGAATTTCTAAATGGATCAGTCAATCAATCAAACACGATTGAGTAACATCGTCTCTGAAGGGACCAGTTTAAACAGATGTTGTTGACAGAGGTGTTTTTTGCCAGGTGAACAAAAAATCGAAATAGAAATCGAAAATCAAAACTTCACCTCACTTCCGGCACTTCCCTCACCTCAAGATTCCCATGAAGATCGCCGACGATGTACACCGGCTCGGCCACCCGCAGCACGCGGTCCTCCGCCTCGAGGAGGGCGGACACCTCGCGGACGACTCGCTTCACCGCCGCGTAGAAGCGGAGGAAGGCCTCGCCGCGGCCGCCGTGGTACAGCCCCAGGGGCGCCTCCCTGGTGCCCTTCCCGCCGCCCGAATTGTGATGGCGAATTTTCGCGTGGAGGTTGTGCAGCCATCGGCAGCTGCTGGAGGCAGAGCTGCTCTTTCCAGCTTCAGAAGAGGGGGGCAAAGGTGAAGATGATGGGGAAGAGGAAGTTGAAGAGGGTAAAGATGGAAAGGTGATCTGCTCCAGAAGGTCGGCGTCCGCTGAAGACCGCCCTGGCCACCGCTGAACGGGTGTCCAGTCGACGCACTCGCCACGTCGGTTCAGTCGGACAATGTTGGCCGCTATTTGGAATGGAGGCTTGGAGCCAGTCGAACACCCACGGCAACGACCCTCGTAGCGCCGGTGGACCAGAACTTCGGCGGCCGCCTCTGACTTTCCGCCAATGCCACTTTGCTTCAGCAGCGCCCGCGCCGCCATTGATCGGGTGATCTGGGCGAAGGGATTCGCGGAGACGCGCACCAGCTGCTCAGTCCCTTTGAGCAGCTTCTTCGGGCCGAGGACGGCTTTTAGAAAGGCCTCCAGCGTAAGAACAATCGTCGCATCTTTTCCCGTTGTTCCGCCAATGCGACGCATCTCTTCGGCCACCTCGGCGTTGCTCAGTCGAGGAGAAGGACAAGTTGAGCTGGAGCTTGAGCTTGAAGAGCTGCCAGCTGAAGATCTGCTGGCTGGAGAGCCATCACCCGAGGCAAAGCTTCCCTGCTGCATCACCAAATGCTCCATCATCAGTCGAAACTCGGCCACACTGAGCAGCCCGTCTCGGTTCTCGTCGTAGTAGCGAAAGACCATTGCTAGCCGGGCTCGCCCATTTCTCGTCCGCTGCTCAATGGCCGCCAGGCCGAGCAGGAGCTCCGTAAAGGAGAGATACTGCTGCTGCTGATGGCCAGTTCGCCTGCTGAAGGCGGCGAAAAGCCGTCGACCAACTTTGACCAGATCACCACCACCACTTGCTTCTTTTAGAATATTGTGCCGGGCGAGGTAGAAGAGGAAGGACGTTCGACTGAGGAAGAGGCTGGGAAAGGCGTGCTCGAGGTAGTCGGCGTAGGCGCGCTCCACGTCGCTCAGGCTGATGGCGTTCGGCTGGGCGAGCAGCTCTCGCAGCGAGGCCCGCTCCTCTTCACCTTCATCGTTTTCAGTTGGAGGCGGCATCTTGTACATGAAGGCGTCCGCGAGGCTGTACTCCTGGATCGACTCATCGCCCACTGAAAAGTTGTTCTCCTCCTCATCACCCAAACTGGCCACCAGACGGGCAAAGTAGGCCACCTCGGGGCCCCAGGCGTTCTCCAGACGGCCGGAGATGGCCGCCTCCAGCGGGTACCAGCGGACGGGGCCATCCCTGGGGAGACTATTTCGACAACAGCACGAAGATCTATTTTGACCAGTATTGTCTTCCAGCGTGGCCAGAAAGACCAGCCGCGTGATGAAGCGCTCCGACTGCGGCAGCTGCACTCGAAGCAGGTGGACGAGACTGAAAGAGGCAAATGGGCTGCTGCCTTTTCGAACACCTCCTCTTTCTTCATTTTCACCATTTTCTTGAAGAAGGGCTAGGGCCGCCTCCATGGCCGTCTCCTCCCACCCGGCCGAGTCGGTGAGCGGCGCACAGGGCAGGAAGCGGCGGGTGCCCCGAGTCAGCAGGAGCTGCTCATGGCGGCGGCAGGCGATCAGCAGGCAGACATTGTCGAAGAGGGCGTCGGAGATGGTCGCCGGCAGGTTCCGGTACTCCAGCGAAGAGGTGGAGATGGAGGTGGTGGGCGGTGGTTTGTTTGAGGATGAGGAAGAGGCAGCAGCAGGAGCGGTTGATGGACTGCTTCCTTTCAAAAGTGGCCTCTTCAGTGAACTTCTTTTCCCCGCCGATCTTGGACGCTTGGAGCTTGGTTTACCACCGCCGCTGCTGTTTCGAGTTTTGATTTTTCGGTTCATGATCTCAAGTTTGAACTCTAATGAATTAAAAATCAAAATCCTCTTCTGAGGTGATGATGTCGCGCTTGTCTTTGTTAAACAAAAGAAGAAAAAGAAAGTTCTAAATTAGAGCTTCTTCCAGAGCGTCACTATTGTCGCCACCATTTTGTTTGCATAAAAGAAAAGGCACAGAGTCAGAAAAGGCTCATTTTATTTGTTGTGTTGAAGTGGTGTTGAAAGCTTTTTTGCTGCTGTTTTTGTTGTGCCAAACTTACCGAAAGCTAAGCTACCACTTTTGCCCGCAAATCTTTGATCTTCTTTTTCAGATCAACCACCACTCAGCACCATGAGCTCCACCACCGCTGTGGCCAGCGGCGGTGAGCCGGGCAAGCCGAACCTCAGCCCAAGCAAGCAGAAGAGCGGCAAATCGAACTCCTCAAAGCAGCAGCCCAACTGGCTCCGCCGCCAGTACGTGCTGGTGAAGGGCCTGGTGCTGGGGCGCACCAGTGGGCGCGTGCACCGCCTGCTGGAACAACAGTTCAATCCGTTGTTCACCTTCGCCCTGGTCGCCCTCGGCCAGCTGCTCTACCTCGGCTGGCTGCTGAGCCGCGGCTCGCTGGCCGACGCCAACATTCTGATCCGCGCCGGCGTGCACGTGCACGTCGTGGCGCTTCTGGTGGGGGGCGCTGCCGCCCGCTGCGCCCTCGCCTGGCTCGTGTACCCGGTGGCGGAGGGCGAGGCGGGCCCGCCGCCGGGCGTCATCTTCGACTATCCGCACCACTCGAAGACTAGCCTGGTGGTCAAGAAGGATGGTGAAGATAACCCAGCCAACACCAACGCCTCTGCTGAGAAGAAGGTGCAGTAGAAGATCGCAGTCCTTCTATCGGCGCAGAGAGTTTGAGAGGGTTCGAAATTGATCAGCTCTTGATCTTGATCCTCTCATCTCTTCTCTTTTTTCCTCTCTTCAAATTGTTTTGAAGCAGCAACCTTTTCCTTTTTTGTTATCGCTGCTTCTTTTTTCTTTTACTGTTATAAAAAAATTTTGTTTTAGGTGAACTCTTTTGTCTTAGACTTACCTTGCTTGTCGGTCGTGTTAGCCGCATTCACCATCATCAGATCATTTGAGGGTTCCTTGAGATCAATTGTCCTCGTTTGTGTTGAATCTAATTCAATGAACTTGTGAGCGGAGTGAAAAAAACTTTAACCGCTTTGTTTTCTCTGAAGACGTTGTTGCTGTTGTTGATGTTTATGCCGCCTCCGCAACAAACGTGTAAGCAAATGGCCTTTTCTATGGCTTTCCAGCTAATCGTTGAGTATCAGATTAAAGAAGAAGAAGAAGAAGAAGAAGCGGATGATCTTGGTCTTCAAGAACGGGAAAGAAGATGAAAGGATGGGATCGTATGCAGTAATAATAATATTTTGGTTTCAGTCTTCAAGCTCGGTGGCTCGCTGACTTGACAACAAAAAAGAGAACAATGAAGCACAATTTGACAACAGATCTACTCATCAAGTTGCTGCAGCTGCTGCTGCTAACTTTTACGATAACTTTCCCCAACGGCAATGTCGTCCACTGTCAACGGAAGTTTGATGCTTCAGCACCGGTTAATCGACGAGTGGCGGACGATGTGAACGGCTTCTGGGCCAATGTGACCGGCGCCCTGGAGACGACTGTTCGGCGGCACAGTTTGGCCGTTCTTCACGAGTGGACGCAGGCAGTCGATCGAGAGCAGCTGAAGTACCGGGTCTCAAAGAAGTGTTTGGCCATCGTCGAGCAGATCATCAAGCGACCGCTGGAGCAGCAATGGAGTGCACAGAGTGAGTTAAACTTTGATGATCATTTTAGAATCTTTTCATCATCAGTTTCTTTTTCTTCCTTCTTCAGTCCTCGACTCAATGAAGCTCTCTCCACCGGGCATCCTCTCCGGAACGACCACCGAACTGGGCGACTTTGACCAGTGTCTGGCGGTGAGTGGTCACTTTGAGGGTGATCACTTCGTGGGCAAGTATTGCTTGGCCACAGTGAACTTGCCCCGAGCCAACCTGTTTAGCCCATCAGGACTGAATGGAAGTCTGCTGAAGCACGAGTGGATGGCAGAAAAGATTGAGAAGTGGTACCAGAATGACAATTACTATGCTGCCGCAACAGCGGTCTGCTTTCCTTCCATTTGCCAGCCGGAGGAGGTCAAGGAAATGATGATGGCTTGTGAGTAACTTTTTAGATAAAAATTTTACTGAAAGTTACTATCAATTTTTTTCTAGACTACCCAATCCTCAACTCCTTTGACTTCAACGTCACCTACTGTCAATCTAAAGAAGAGCCACGACAGTACGACCAACGCATATGGATTGCTCTGTAAGAAATAGAACTCAAAAGTTCAGTTCAACTTCTGACCAATTTTTTTTGTTAGCTTCATCCTCGCCCTTCCCTGGCTCCTCATCATCCCGGGCACTCTCTTTGAGATGACCTACTGTGGACAGTCGTCACCTCTCAGCGTCAACTCTGATGAAGAGCAAAGAACTGAAGGCGAAAAACTCGAGGACACACTGCTGGCGCAGATTCTCCTCAGCTTCAGCCTTCTAGGCAACAGTCGAATTCTCTTTCGCATGGTCGACTCGGCGGCCGACAACAACAACAGCAGCAAAACTGAAAGCGATCAGGCGGCGACGGCGGCGGTGAACGCCCAGTTCCAGTTCGTCCACGGCATCCGCGCCCTCGCCAGCATCTTCATCATCATCGCCCACAACTCCGCCTTCGTCATTGTCCTCTACCAGATGGGCGTCTCCGTGGTGGCCCGCCACCCGACGGACTTTGTGGCGCTAAGTAAGCTGCCCATTGCGCAGCCATTCTACAATGGCTCCCTCGTCGTGCTCACCTTCTTCCTCATCAGGTAATTTCCGTTCAGAAAAGGAAAGTTTTAGAAACCTCCAAACATTGACATTGTTTTCCCTTTCTTTCTTTCTTTCTTTCTTTCTTTGCTCAGCGGCATGTTCCTCTCCTTTTGGACGGCCTCGAGGCGGCGGCTGCGGCTGCCCTTCACCGCCTACGTGACGCTGCGCTGGCTCCGCTACTCGCCGCCCATGATTGGCATGCTCTGCCTGACGGTGGTCATGGAGCTGGTGGGCGGCAGCAACCGTGGAGGTCCACTTTTCCACCACGACCACCTCTGGCCGACGCTGAAGCCCTGCTACGAGGACTGGGCCGCCCACCTGCTCTTCTACAGCAACACTCGGGACATTGACAAGACGGTAAGAGGAGGAGGAGGTAAAAGGAAGTAAACCAAAGTAAATTAATCTTTTTCTATTGCTATTTCAGTGCGGCATCCAAACCTGGTACATCAGTGTGGAGATGCAACTTCACCTGCTCGCCTTTCTCTTTCTGCTGGCCTACACGCGCAGTCGGCGGCTGGCCACCATCGTCGCAGTAGCCTTTATTGCCACTGGAATGGCACTCATTGTCCTGTTGGTGGCCGTCGGCTGGGCCAAGCTGCCGCTGGTGCACGTCATTGTCCACACGCAGTTTGCGTAAGTAGTAGAAGGTTTCATTTTGTTCTTTTTATAAACTTACTTGTTCTTTTCAGACCGACGCACGACGCCGTCCGCTATATCTTCTTCGCCGTCACCATGAACATCATTCCGTACTTTGTGGGCGTGCTCCTCGGCCAGGCGCTGCTCGAGGGACGGCGGCTGACCACGCTTTCGCCCATTTCGAAGCGAGCCGCCTGGGCGCTGACCGCCGCCATCTTCCTCGGCCTGCCCATGGCCAGTCTGCCCAACGCCGGCGACCTCGCCCAGGTAGCGGGCAACGACTCGGTGGCCAACGCGGCCGCCTTCGCCCTCATGGTCCTCCTCTGGTCGCTGGCCAACGGCTGGCTCGTCTTCAACTGCGTCACCCGCCGGGACCTATCTCTAAACCGCTTCCTCTCGGCGAAGATCTGGCAGCCGCTCTCGCGCCTCTCCTTTGCCCTCTACCTCGTCCACATGATGACCATCTGGTTCAATGTGTACCAGACGCGGACGGCCATCAACTCCAGCGCCATGAATGAGATTGTAAGCTGATTGATGAGGATGAAAAATTCAATTTTTCAATCCGTTCTAATCTCCTTTTCTCCCCCTCCTTTTCCAGTACAAGATGATCTGCCTCTCCATCGCCCAGTCCTTCATGCTCGCCTACCTCCTCTACGTCTCCTTCGAGGCGCCGTCCGTCAATCTGATCAAGCTGTTCATCAGCAAGTCAGAGGCGGCAGCGGCGA